AGGAAGGGAGGTTGACAAGGGTCATGGGAGGAGTTGCGAGTTGGAGGAGTGACCGAGTTGGGGTTGCGGTGTGAAGGAAGTTGTAGCTGGGTGTGGTTGTATGGAAGAGGGAATCTGGGAGGGAGTTACAAGAATAGGGGAGAGGTGGCGGGCAAAGAAGAGGTTACAGGAGTGCTTGGGGTATCCAACAGGGAGGAGCGATACTCTGTAATCATAGGAAGGTGACCGCGCCAAGTTCGGGAAGTTGTTGGCTGCGTGAAGTTGCTGAGAGCAAGGATTGGCGGTCGAGAGGGTAGGTGATACTGGAACTAGTAGGGAAAATAGTGAAAACTCAAAAGGTAATCTTTCATTAATATTAAAATAAGATTACAACATGACTCAAATAGAAATAACAACACAAGACATAAGTCGACATAAACAACACCTCTAAATGTAACACAATGGGTGGTGGAGGCCGGCTAGAGGAATATGTATGATTAGGAAGGATGTCGGTAGTCACGGAAAGCAGTTGGTAGCGAAGGAAATGTGTGAAACTATAGGAACAAGTGGAAGGATTGTAGGTGGTTGGCAGTAGTAGTGTGGTAGTTGGGAGGGTTTTAAGAAGAGTTAGGTAGGCGGGACAACAATAATGATTTGTAGGAAGGGGAAACATTTTGATGTCGGGATGACCGTGGGTGAGTTCGGCGGTAGAGGAATGGAGAGGTGAAGGTTTGGAAAGGGTAGAAAGGGGGATACAACTACCACCTCGGAGAGGATACAACCGGAGCACCACCACCTCTTTAGATACAATCCCAAAAAGGGAAAAGGGACTTCACACAAGAAATTTGAAGCTAAACTCAAACACAACTTAAATCTGACTCCTACATACACAAAGATAGCTATTTATAGGCTTAGGAGAAACTACATAAAAGGGATAGGTGGAAAGGCATGAGGAATCCGTAAATTACTTCCCAGAAAAGATCTGGTGAGAATAGTCTGGTTGGATCGCGGGAATTCATGATTTCTCCCTGCAGCGGGTTATCTCGTCTTTGCGGGATTGTGAGACCTCGCTTTGCTTTGTGAGGTTTTGCTGGTCTTCGACCTCGCGGTTTCGAGCGCCCCTTTTCGGCTTGCTGTTCCGCACCCGTATCTGGACTCCGTTCAGACGCCCTGCGTCAGAAGGGGGAGGTGGTTGTTGGGGGAGATAATCACCACCGAGGGAAGGGATTCAACCGAAGCATGAAAAGTTTTGTCGGCAGACGCCCTGCGTCGAAGTTTCTGGCTCCTCCTGGCGGGCCGATCATGTCGGCATTGTCATTTCACAATACATTTTGGTAGAATACGTATCCATCCTCTTTGACACATCTTGATCGGAAGCTACATATAAAGAACTCTTGAGCCCTTAAGTTTGAAATATTCTCCTTTCACCTATCGTGCCCAACGAACTATAGTTGATGAATAAGTGTGTAAAAATAAATCAATTCTAGGATGAAATTTGTGGTAGACTGTGCCACTCTCACTAGAGACCACTTAGGAGAGAGAGTTTCTGTGAAAGGACCTGGATCCCATTGAAGAATTTTCTCCTCCTTTAAGATCCTAGGGCACATTTCAAAACTGAGGTTCGTCCTTCCTATCTGGACATCTGCTGATGGGTATACGCTGAGCTGAACCTAACATATGAAATTCTACCCGTAATATTCTAGGCATGACACAAGATGACCCCTCTTCAGAAATGTTGGATCTCCCTCCGTAGGGGCAACTTAGGAGGGGGTCTATAAATCTGAAATATCTGCATTTCCCTTTTCTGTGGTGAACCTATATCTGATGTTGGCTCCTCAAAATCATAACCCTTGTAAACATCCAAGGTTGGTCTTGCTGATGTTCCTCTCAAAGTCTGTAACATGCTAGCTCAAGGCACCATAATCTCATACCATGATGGACCGCCCATTACCTCAGAGTCACTACCTTTTAGAGACGTGAGTGTTACCTCAGCTGGAATCTCTATCTCCGAGTCAACTGAATTGGTGACATTTATTCCTTATAGGTTGCAAGTGAAGAATCCTCTTAGACATCTTCATCTTCTCCCGGACCAACCATGTCATTGCCCAAATTTTCAATAACACCCTGCTTAGTGAAACAAATCTCTCTCCTAATTGTGTATTTTAATTCCACATGCCCAAAGCTTTGACACTTGCAACACTTCATGGTTGTGACAAATTTATGCATGCAGCTTGGTCTCACCTGTTCTCTACTTTGAATTAGTTTGTTTTCTAAAAAGGTCCTCTTGGGTATTCCCCTGAGTGTACTCTGGCTATAAGATCCTCAGGTTGACCTCTGCCTGTAAAATGTGGTAGTCACTCGTTGGAGTGTTCTCCACTTCTTAAGCTAAAGTTTGAAGTTTCTGTCTGTAGTAAGCTGGTAGGAACTGATACTGTCTCCCGTTTCATCCTCATATTCTCTTATTCTCCCCTTCGACTCTCCAGATCACGGTCGAGGGCAATCACCCATTGGATTTCAACCTCAATGTCTATAAGCCTCCGCTGAAGCCGTCGTATCTCCCGCCGTATCTCTTCCCGCAAAGGCTTGGGCATGTTTTTACTTGGTGGCATGATTATGATTTTGGGTTGGGAGGTGAAAGAGGGTGTAGGAGACTTGTTGGTAGGAGGCTTGTTGAAGGGGTAGGGAAAATAATTTATGGCTGCTGATTTTGAAATCAGCAGGGGGAGTTAAATTTAGGTCAAAATTTTGCCTAGGTTTGGGAATAAGAATGGTTTGGATAGGGGCGGATGCTAGGAAACCCTAGGATGAGACTAGGATTGGGCTTGCTCTAATGTCAACTGATATTGGAGGAAACCCTAATCGAAATAAAACGGAAATAGTATTGCTGAAATTTAATAGGATTACAATCAAAGAGGCTTAGCATCAGAACAATGCAATCACAATTAATAAAAGACACTCTAGGGAGACAGCGAGGGTGGTGTTAGGATGCTGGGCAACAGGTAGGAAGGTTGGTTGGGGACTTGTGGGTGCAGGTGTGGCTGATGTGGGGAGGTGACCGGGTGGAGTGTAGTAGCAGTGAAAGGGAGGGATGGTAAGGACACAAGTAGCAGTAGGTTTGGGTGTCACGATAGAGAACAGTGGCCTGGATCTGGGTTCACGGGAGAGGTGGAGGCAGGTTATGGAATAAGGGAGGCTGGTGAGGGTCACGGGAGGAGTTGCGGGTTGGAGGAGTAACCGGCTTGGGGTTGCGGCGTGAAGGAAGTTGTAGCATGGGATAGATGTATGAAGGAGGGATTTTGGGAGGGAGTTACGAGAATAAGGCGGAGGTGGAAGGCATAGAAGAGGCTATATGAGGGCTTGGGGTATCTAGTAGGGAGGAGGAGCGGCACTTTGGGATCGTAGGAAGGTGGCTGACCAAGTTTGTGAGCTTGCTGGTTTCGTGAGGTGGTTGTTGGGGGAGATAATCACCACAGAGGAAATGTATCTGCCGGAGCACCAACCTTTCCATCGGATGCAACCCTCAAGGGGAAAACAGGATGCTGAAGGCTGTCCTCATAAACTAAAATATGAAAATAACATATGCTGAACCCTAACACTACAAACAACATATAAATAGAAGCAGGATAGGCTGGAAACGAAAATAGGAATGGGGGAATAATTTCCGCCCACTGAAAAGAGGAAGGAGCTGAGCCGGTTCAGCTCCCTACCCTGAACCGGATTGAACCGGTTTGGCCCCTAGCCCCTGCGTCCTATTCATAAAAGGTATTAAATCCTTGTGTAGAGAAGCATGTTGATGGTTCAGCCCTAGTCCCTGTGTCTTATTCATAAGAGGTATTAAATTCTTGTGTAGAGAAGCATTTTACTGGTATGTGTTAAATGGTCTGAGATGCTACTAGAGTTTGTGTTGATAAATTATCAAGTGCAATACCATGCCCTACAGTCAACCAACTAAAACAAAAAAGCCAGCAGGTCATCCTGAGGATTTTGTTCCTGTGAAGATCTTCCCAAATTTAAGTCAGTCATTGTGTTGTGAAGGTAAAAGAGAGTGGTAATTAGTTTGGCAAAGTTTTTCTTTAGGATAAAAGAGCGAGATCTTAGAGATTTGTATTCTCTTGAATATAGGTACTTCGATAAAAGGAGCTTAAGTATCTTAACCAGATGTGTGATGGATAATGAACAACATTGCCTTCGAGATCATACTAAGCTGAAATTCTCCTCGATTGAGGGTATTTTTGTCTTTGGCTGATCAAAGGGTAGAGTATGCGCCACATCATCTTTGAGATCCATGCTGGACCATTGTTTTGCTAGCAATTATGGATGGATTTTATGGTAGAACTAGGGATTGGTTGAGGATTATCCTTGCTTCATAGGTTTGCAAAAAAAACATATTTATAATTATGTTTAAAGTAGAAGCTTCAATCATAAATCCTTATGTAGCTATGTTGAATATGGGGAGTTTCATCGTTCTCAAGAGTGGGGTAAACACCTTTATCTCTCACTTTAAATCTAGATTTTGCCATTGCATGGATGATGGAGGCCCTTGGTCATGACATTGGTGCAATTGGAGGTCTAAATAAAATGACTATCTATATTGATGGCTTTGAGATTGTTTTTGATGATGGTTTTATTGGATGACTGGATTTATGTTAGATCCTTGAGATAGGTGTTGATTAACATTTGCTTCATTAGAGCGAAGCTAGTTTGGCACAAATCATGATGCAATTGAATGTTATGAGCAAAGATATCAGCTTGTTTGTCCCACTTTGCATGAAGATTACTGGGGCATGGAGCTTGATGTCCTTAATTGGATTGTTAAATTATTTTGGAGCTATTTTGGGGCCTGTATCAAATTATAAATCATGTTTTGGTTTCCTGGAATAGCATGCACACTCTTGTTGATGCCTTTGTGCTCTAGGTTCTTGGCTTTTCCACGTCGCTTTGTAAGTTTCATTTTCAGAATGGGCTGCTACTTTCTGTTGATAGTTATGTTTTTGTTTTTTTTTCTCATCCTTCTGTTGCAGAGCACTTAATTTCATGCATCGTGCCAAGTTATATAAAGACCAAGAATATTTGTAAACTGAATTTTGAAGAAAAGGTAACTGCCATGAGGAGAAGTTTTGGCCAATGTTGGAGGCTTAATTTGAGATGCTCTGCAAATGGTGATGGGGCTTCCGTTTTGGCTTCAAATGTTCATGTAAGGGAGCAACAGAGTTGCTCAAATATTCCGCTGCATGATGCACGTATTCTGTATTCTGTAGCGCCTGCGATGGGCCATAATAAGGTTTGTTTTTTAATTTTTACTGTCTTGTGTAGCTGTGTAGATATGTACGGAGGTCATATAATATTGAAAAAGTCTTCTTTTTGGCTACATAAATTTAAATCCCTGCAAAAATTGTAATGTAACGAAGATTTTAAAGTATTATGTCCTATTACACATAAGGTTCACAAAGAAAGCAATAAATCTACTACTTTCATTCTCTATGACTGCGAATCCTCTCTATTGAGTCATTAAGTCTCGTAAACAAGAGGATGTTAAGATAAGTTTTACCAAATTGTACAATTTTGTTGGTCTTATGGCTAACTTTATTTAATAGTGAGAAACATTATTCATCATTTGCATAACTTCATCATTGCCAAATCAGTTGAGAAACATTATTGATCATTTGCATAACTTTGTAGATTAATACTCATATAAAATCAAACTATTAGCTAAAGAATCGTCATCGTTATAAAGCAAAATATCATCTTCATTATAATTGCTATCTTCCACATCATAATCTTCTTAATACCCATATTCAAGTGGAATCATTAATGATGCGGCTGCTATATGAAGCATCAGGGAGAGACTATAAGACAGTGGTTCAGGTAGGTATGAGCAATGATGAAAATGCATTTAGATGTGAGGATTATTGCGCATTTTGACCCGAGTGTCAAAGATTGACATTACTGCCCCTACCATCTAGTAAAAAAAATTTCCTCTTGCTCTCATAGTTAGCTGGAAATCCTAGCCTGTTGGTATGATTAACTCATTTCTCAAAACATACATATATAATATCAAAATATACTTTTGAATGAAACTCACATTTTGCTTGCCAAAATGTTTACAAACTCAAGTTATCTTTGCATGAAAAACTAATACTCGGCATTTTAAAACAGTACTTGTGACAAATTCATGAGTCAATTACATAGGTCGGGTTGAGGATTGCTCTCCCATGAGTGTTTGGTGGGTAGCCTTTTACTTTATGTTGTACCTCACATACATGGTGCCGATGGTTGCCTACGGAGTTCCACTGGGAAAAGTACGATTTTGAGCTCCCCCTTTACTAAACTCTTATACCCCTCTCCGATCTTCCATATATGTGCCACTCAGTCTGCTCTACTTGCCTGGGCTTTCCTTGTGTTGTTATTCAAATCTTTATGCATATATGTATGTTATTATTTGTAATACTAACCTTGCAGTAGCGACAGAAATCCCAGGTACACATTGTTTTGATTTGTTCTTCTTCTCTACTGCATATTTATGGCATGCTTTACTTTTGTGCATTACTACCTATATATTTGCCAGGCCTTTAGGATAGAGAACAATAGTCCAGTTTCTTAGGATGGATCACTATAACATATGAACAAATATGTCCTTTAACTTTAATAATAATAAGATCAACTGGCTTAATAAAAATAATCAAAATTAAAACATAAGACATAAAACCCTGAACTTGGAGCCATCACAACGAGGAGCTCTGAGCAAGATGCAAGGGTGGGGGACGACTTCAGGGAACGAGCAAGGCTCAACACGAAGCGGATTGACTTCAGTGAAACATATATTGCACAGAAGAACATCTTCAAGAGAACAAACAAGATCTACATTAGCTAAAATTTTTCTTAGTTTAAACAACAACAAATCCATATGTCTTTGAGGTGGTCCTCCTAGTGCGACATAAATCCTTACTTTATCTTTAAGCTTTTGCACAGCTCTGTTGTGCAATATAAGTCCTAACACTTTTTAGGATTCCGATGTCATCGTTCGTACGATTTAAATCCTTCTATCTTCCAAGCTATTTGCATAATTGGGTATTATGTAAGTGTAAGCCTAAATAATAATTGACAGGATGAAATATTAAAAAAACATCATTTCCAAAACATACAGGCAAATAATAGAATAGTTTGGGAAGTCATCGATGTTTTCTTCGGATCTGTAACATCCCCTACCTTTCACTCATTTGACTCATGAAAATAACTGTTCATACTTGAGCCACTTCCACTTGCTTTTCCATGACCAACCTTAAAAACCTAAACTTTGAATTCTTGAAGACAAAATTATTGATCTTAATCGAGAGTTTTCTTGAGTGACTTCGGTCATTTGAGATGCAATTAACTATAGGGGCTTGCCTCTATAAGGAACTTGAAACCCAGGTAAAATAAACTGCGACCACAATAGAGTCATAAATTTCTTAGTTTAAGTATTTATTTTTTGAGATAGTGTATCACTTGGGGTATTATGCTCGATTATCTAAGTTATCAGATATTTGAGATTTATTTGATCTCATTAATTTTACAAAATTAAAATACTATTTTCAAAATCAAAATTATATATATATATATATATATATAATTAAATTAAATTATTTTCAAAACGACCGACCAAAATTTCAGCCGACAATATGATTTAACTTCTCATGCTCACAAACATTCTCCTCTATTGGGCTCCTGTAGACATACCCTTTTTGGGTAGCATAATAACTTACAAACAAACATTTCACAGCTCTGAGATCCAGCTTCCCAGGATGACTTGTTATCTTTCACAAAACACACAACTAAACACCTTCAATAGAAGGATCCCACTATATCTCATTTCAATATCTGACATCCTGACTTCCAATCCAACGCTCTTGAGGGCATTCTGTTGATCAATTGAACAACTATTAAAACTGTTTCCAATAAGTGCTTTGGGACATTCATTGTGATCATCACCTTTAATAGGAGGATCCCACTATATCTCATTTCAATACCTGATATCCTGACTTCCAATCCAACGCTCTTGAGGGCATTTTGTTGATCAATTGAACAACCATCAAAACTGTTTCCTATAAGTGCTTTGGGGCATTCATTGTGATCATCATGCTTCGAGCTACCTCTTGAAAGTTTTTTTTTCTCTCCGCTATTCCATTTTGTGCCAGTGTGTATGGATATATGGTTTGATGTTATTTCCTTTGGGCTAATAAGTATTCCCCAAATTTGTCGGTATACTCTGTCCCATTATCACCTCAATATCTTCACTACTATACTATATTGAGTCTGGATTAACTTGTGAAAGTCTTTAAAGCAAACAAACACGTCACCCTTATTTTTTATCAAATATACAAAGTGACACGAGAAAAATAATCAATAATAATCACAAAATATCGACTACCATTCATAAAACTTATAGAACAAGATCCTTAAATATCAGAATGCATCAAGTCAAAAAGATCAAAACTCTTATTCTTAGAATTGATGTAAGAACTCGTAGTAAGCTTGCCAAACTCATAAGCATCACAAACTAACTTTTGTTTATTTGTCCTTTTGTACAACAAATGATACAACCGACTCAATAAACTAAAACAATAGTGTCTAATGCGCCTGTGATGTAGCAGCAACATATCCTCCACACTCCACCCAGATTCTTCTACTCCAACACTCTCCATCATGAATGTCAAAGTTGAGTTCATCCTCTTTTGGTCTAAGTACCAGAGTCTACTATTCCACGTTCCAGTCTCAAGTGTTCGACACATCCCTTTCTCTTGAAAGATCACTTTAGGAATATCAAATAAAACAACATATTTTAGCTGGAAAATAATGACACTAATGGATAAAAGATTCATTGGAAAAGAAGAAGCATACAAGATATTAGACAAAGTCATATAATTGATATTCCTTACTGTACCTTTACCAACTATAGGTTGTGCTGTACCATCAATAGTCTGGATGCTCTTTGGTTCTGACAGGAGAACATAGGAAGAAAACTCATTAGCAGTATCTATCACATGTCTAGATGCATCAGAATCTACTATTCATTTTGATAATCCTGTAGTGGAAATAAAGGCAAGAGCATGTGTAGCACAAGTATCTTTGTCGGAGTGAGCATAAGTGACAATGTTACCCTTTGGAAGCATCCTCAGCCCCATTTCCTATGGCTTTTTGCTTTTTCTTTAACAACTCTAGACACTCATGGTCCCCATTAGTAAAAATCACATTTGTCTCTATCTCCTCTGCTACCATCAAATTTCACCGGTAGCCCCCTTTTCCACATTTTTTATGACCACGGTCTCCACCATGTCCACGTGCGTATGTGTCTCTCTCCTGAGGTGGCCTAGGACAGGTTTAGCTCAAATGCCCAATTTCACAAAAATTGTAGCACTTGCGAGTCTCCCCCTGAACACCTATCATACCTAAGCTCAAGTCAACCAAAGCTGATCGCGCACCCGAAATTCCACTCGCCTCAAGGTGTAGCTTCATGTGACTCTCCTTCTATATCATTGCAACAATGACCTCATCCACTAAATGGATAGTCGTCTAAGCTAGAAGGATGGATCTTCTCTGACCAAAGGCCTTGTTCAGATGGGCCAAAATCTGCAAAGTCCTCATTTGTGCAAAGATCTCTCTTTTCTTGCACTTTGGATCACCACAACTAGACATTGGTGAGAAGTGATCAAGATTTGCCCACAGTCGTTCCAGATCTATGACATATTTCTGAATCGATCTATCACCCTGTAAAATTGCTTTTATCTCACGCTGACTCTCGTGTGATTCTCAGTCTCAGCATAAATCCTCTTCAATTTTTCGCAGATGTCTCTCACCTTTCGAATGCCATCTATTGAGACAGAAGCATCGAATTGAGTAGCCATGTGTAGATTAAGACGTGTGTGGTCCTCCACTTATCCCTCTCAGCGCTGCCGCTCTTTAGCTTGTCCTCAGTCAGATATCCTTCTAGTCTCTTCCCTACTAGAGTCGCCTCAATACGACGTGACTAACTTAGATACTTGGCTGGTCCATCAAGCTTTTGATTCACAGGAGGGAGATCTAGTTTCACCTGCATCATCGAAGCACGTGTTGAAGTAGTGGTTCTTGTCGAGACACTAGCTCCCAATATGAGCCTGATCAAGACCTTCATAACCTCAGGATCTATCTTTCCCATAAGTTATACTCCTTTACCTCTCACTGTATCTTCATCTCCTGTCATCCTCAATCACAAGACTGCATTTCCCCTGTTCGAAGAAACCCTTCATCGATTCGAATTCTTTCGCTTCTATCTCTACCGTTCTTCGCAGCAAAGTAGGATCGCAACAAACAGAGAACTCCAAAATTCTTGTATCGAAGCCACTCACGCTTCCTTGAATCAAAGTCACTTGTCTGGTTTCGCAGCTGGAACATGATTGCTATACAGACCCGACAACTATGCTTCTTCCCCGTCTCGTTGCAGGAGCGGGAGCAGAATCCCAACATAGATAGGATTGCGACACATACCCGATGACTTGGCTTCTTCCTCGTCTCACAATCACGACACGGACGACGTTGCTTCTTCCTCATCTCACAAATCTAGCAGACGTCGTGTCTCCGGTTTTGCAGTAGAAGCACGATCAATGGTTTCGAAAGGGATGGGTGAGAGAGAGAGAGAGAGAGAGAGAGAGAGACGAGCGGCAAGGTTAGGCTTTGATACCAAAAAGAATGAATTGTTCTATAGCTACTCTGTACATTTATAACATGAGCTTAAATAATGTATTACAATATTTTACAAATACACCCCTAGACTTCTTCGATATTCCCTTTCTTTCCAATAGGACCCTAAATAAGGTCCAATTCTCAACAGAGCCTTGTAGCACTCATGTTTGGATCTCATTTTCATGATGTCACCTGTAGTATTTCAACCAGTTTTTTTTTTATTCTCTTTAGTTTATATTTTTGGAAAGCTGTTATAGATGGGTGCTACAACAACTAGTTTTACTAGACTCACTGTGGCTAGAGTTTTGATGGAATTGGATATTACAACCATATTTTATAAATATATGTGTGTTGGATCTCGATTATTGGAATTTTGACATAAAACAAAATTTGAAAATATTTCTTCGTACCGTTCCTTGTCATATTTTTGGATATAAATTTTCTGAATGATTTAAGTCACATCCAGAATGTAAGGTTTACATCTTTAGCCTCAATGTAATGTGAGGTTTACATCTTTTTCATCTGAGGCGTATGCATCAAGGCTGCCTCGAGGCAACACCTCGATTACGGTGTGCTAAAGAGTGTACTATGTTAGATATATTTGATACAACACCTCAAAAAATTCAAAATATAATTTAAGTGATTACTTGATTATGTTATTAGTTTATTCTTTTATTTTAAACTATTTGAAATTTCAGATTAATTGATATTAATGATAAAATTATAGTGAATGAAAAATATTTTAAAGTTGGAAATGAGATAGAATTATATGAAAATAAATATGAAGATTAGTTTGAAGATGTGGAACAATGGATGAGGCTACCATGGATCTTGAATCCTATACAATATTTAAATTTTAAGTGAATGTTTACCTATAATCACTTTTCAAACTTCAATTCTATATCAAAATTTAAGATTAAGTTTTATGATTAGTCTTTATGATAATAAATTAAATCAATATCTTAATGGTTTATATCATATGTATGAATTTTTTTTTTCAATTTTATGAGTTTTTTTTTCTTTCTTGCTAAAAATCAAATGTGTTTTTCTTAGATGAGAATATTCAACATAGGTAGGTGAGATACTTTGATAAACTTTTAAATGAATATTGTGAAAATATAATCAAATTTAGCGATCTTAATGTCATAAATGATAACAATCCTTTTTATTTCTGCCGTTGTATTAATAAAATAAAAATTGAGGAGGCCATGAAGTGTGAAAAAGTAGGACCTGCTGGTATTTCAATGGAAGTGTAATAATATTTAGGAGATGAGAGAATTTTTTGATTTACTAAATTTTTAATATTATTTTAAAAATTAAAATGATGCATGATTTGTGTAAAAAGAATTTATTGTTTCCAATTTTTAAGAATAAATGGGATGCACAAGAGTGTGCAATTTATAGAATTAAATTATTATGTCATACATTAAAATTTTGGAAGAGAGTAATTGAACATAGGTTAAGATGTGATGCAAATATTTCTGAAAATCAGTTTGGATTTATGTCGTGTAAGCCTACTATTGAAGCTATATATTTATTTAGAGATTTTATGGAGAAGTACAAATAGAGTAAGGAGGATCTGCATATGATTTTTATTGATTTAGAAAAAGCTTACGATAAGATTCCAAGAGAAGTTTTTTGGCGAGTTCGAGAAAAGGAAAATGTTGATATGACTTATATTCAAGTCATTAAAGATATGTATACCAGAGTTGTTACTTGTGTTCGAACAGGAGGATTGACTAGTATTTTCTTATTTTAGTTGGATTACATCGGAATCTACTTTAAGCCCATATTTTCTTACTTTAGTTATGAATGTTTTTACTAGACATTTATAGGAGGATGTACTTTGGTATATGTTGTTCACGGATGATATCTAGAGAGAAAGTTCGGGTAAAACTTTAATTATGGAGGTCAACTTTAGAGTCAAAAAACTTTCGTTTGAGTAGATCGAAAATTGAATACACGGAATATAGTTTTAGTAGTAGTATATCTTGTGGCAGGGTTGTAACAATGTGTGATCATGTCATTAAAGAGGAGTGAATGTTTTAGATATCTCGGCTCTATTGTCCAAAGCGATGGTGATATAGATGAGGATGTTATTAGTAGAATTCAAGTTGGATTCTTGAAGTGGAGGAATGCATGGGGCCTATTGTGTGATAGAAAAGTACCGCTTAGGCATAAAGAAAAATTTAATAAGATTGTTGTGAGACCTGCAATGCTTTATAGCGTAGAATGTTAGTCTATAAAAGAGAAGCATAAAATTAAGTTAAGTGTTTTTGAGATGAGAATGCTTAGGTGGATGAGTGGCTTTACACGGAGAGATAAAATGCAAAACGAATATTTGTGTGAAAGGGTTGGAGTAGCTCTAGTGACATACAAGATTAAAGAGGGTTGCCTTAGATGGTTCGATCACATTAAGGGTTTATTTGGGGCAGCCGCAACTTATTGAGTAATCTGCTGATAAGCTGATTAAAAATAATTTGCTGATAAGCTAGGTGCGAGGTGCGGTGACTATTACATTAAGCTAGGTGCGGTGACTATTACATATTTTTATTTTTTTGGAAAAGCCAGACCGTTGCCAGAAAGATGTCACCGCACCTAGATAGGTGCGGTGTAAAAAAGTTGTTTTCAGCATTTTGAAAACGCATAAGCTGCCAAAACGCAGTTTACCCGAACAGGTCAGGTGCGTAAAGAATGTGTTTCAGAAAACAATGATCTCATTTTCCCTCATTTTGAGTGCGAAAGTAAAATCATCACTTCTGCATTTTTTTTGGAAACTTGTGGCGTAAAATCAGTGTTGGCTTCTGTTACTTTCAGCCATAAATATGGACTTGACAAACTTTATGTTTCTTCAAAATATGTTCTCAAACTTCAAGCAGCCAACTTATCCCATAATGCGGTTTGTAAGATGATTTTGACTACAGGATCAAAGTAATTGGTAAAGACATTTTCAAGTCTTAATTCTCGATCACTTGAGAATCTTTCATTAATAGTTCTCGGCATTTGTCCATATCTGAAGAGCTAGTTCCTCTTTTGAGATGTACTAGTAATAAAACAAAATCTTAGAATTGATAAAGTCATGCTATTTTAAGTTAAAATAGAGTAATGATTAATCCGAGGTATTATTAACATACCTCATTTCATATCTTCTATTCTGAATACGATTGGAGTCTTCTTTTGATCTACCTGTAAGAAATATTTCCTGGCTTTAGCAGGAATCTGAAAACATTCTACAGTTTTTTGCCTTCCATTTTTGGATCTTTGTTTGACATTAAGCAGTTGGTATTTTTATTCACCGAGGCTTCTAGTTGTCTTTTCTGAATATTTTTATTACAAATTTCTTAAACTTTTTATTATGCTACTAAAATTTTCGAATAATATTATTTTTGGGTTCTAATACAGGAATATCACCCTGAATCTAATTTAAGGGTTCCTGCAATAGTTAATGCTCTTGAGGAGTTTGAGCTCACATCCAAGGTAAGTAAGAAGAGCAAAAGATCTATCTTCTTTCTTTATAAGCAAATCATACATCAGTTTAGGCAGGTTAATGATAATTTTGTGTGACCATGCTGTTGCGGCTTTTTAAGTTAACCATGGGAGATTCTTTCTGTGGAGTTTGTGATTTACGAAATAGACTAAGCACGAAAGGAAAATATGATTAGCAAGTAATTTTTTTTCTTGTTGCCATGGGACTTTGTAGCTATCCATGTATTTTGTTTCAGTGGCTACGTAATTTTAGTGGCCTTGACAACCAGTTTTCTACGTAACGTATGCCTTATATGTGTAACGTCTAGCATAATCTCTGTTTGGTTTCATTGAAACACATGATACTATGTTAATTATGTTTTATGTGAGTGTTTTGTTTTATAGGAGTAAATTGTGCAATAATATTATTTCTGCCAGTGCAAAGTTCTTTGGATGGCTGTTTGTTCCTTTCTAGTTTCTCTTTTTCTTCATTCATCATGAATTCTTTGCTTGCCGTTTTTAAACACATCTATTTAACTGTACTAGTTCTCCCGAGTAGCATGGTTTTTAAGTCATTTCCCGTTCATTGGATTATCTTCAATTTTGCCCTGATTAAGAAAAACTTTGGCTGTTTTTGAGGTTTCAACATGATGGAATGAGAATGAGTAAATAAGATTTACGGAATGAAAACATCAAGGATAGATAAAAATATTATTTTCAGGAATTCCTACAATGTGTCACGACTCCAACCGGGGCTTGAAATTAACCAACATGGGAACGGATGGTTGGATAGTGAAAAATATAATAGTGTTATTCTATTTATATTACTAACAATTCAATATTAAAAATTTCATAAAAGAGCCACCAAAGCGTAAAAGAGTCATTATAATTCTAAAAACTTAATTTTTATAATATTTGATTCATTTTTTTTAAGAAAATCTGTAGTTAATTTTATTGCTCAAAAGTAAAGTTACATATTTTTTGGAGATTGGATCCCACTACAAATAAAAAAATACAGTGCTCACTCCTAGGGTTCCAAACTCCAGGTGTACAAACTCACCCAAAAGTCTAAAACAAATACAAGTGTACCCCAAAAAGTCTCCAAAACAAAAGAAATAGCTAAATTCAAGTAAAGAAGAAGGCAAAGAAAAAACAAAGATGCCATCTTAAGAGAAAGGTTTAAGATAAGGCATATTGAGATTGTCCCCCATTAGGAGTAGCTTAAGATCGCACTCAGGCTTGGTTTTTAGGATTTTAGCCTTAGTATGTGTAGCAGCTTTAGCAAGGAAATCTGCTGGGCTATTAGTTTCCCTGGGTGTGTAGCTCTATGTGGTGACAATATTTGTTGAAAGTTGCGTAATCCTACATAAATCAACACTTAAATATCAAGGAGGTTCTTTATCATTCGCCAATATGTTCGACAAAATAGTTGAATCCATCTCAATTTGCAAGAATTTTCAGTTCATTTTAGTCGTAAAAGAGGCCAACCAAACAACATATAACTCTGCGGATAATACATAAACAACCATTCAAGGTGAAGAAAAAAACATAATAACTTACCAGAATGAGACTTATAAACCCCACCTGCACCTGCACAATCAGCCTTCTAACTACCATCTGTATTTATCTTAATCCTAGGGAAAGATGATTTTTTACACCATATAAGAGAGACCTCACAAAAATTTCTGCCAGGTATATCATAACCTAGTCAATCCTCTTAGCTAGCAAAGAAGGATGACTTAAATTTATGATTAATAAACAATTTATGTATATAAGATAGGATATTTGAAATCACCCTATCATGCTTAATTCAACAATTCTCATGCTTGTGGGAATATCTAGCCAATCAAATGAACCAAATGCAAATGAAAGGAATGTTGTTAAATATATGTTGTTTATGAATAGGATGACACCAATGTTACCTGCTCTGTGACAGATCCGCCCTACCCAATGGATGGGTTTTGATAGCAGCTCGATCACCTAAAATTGTCCACATTTTGATAGTGTAGACACATCCAAAAAACACATGGTTTAGGCTTTCCTTCTACGACTTGCAAAGCAAACCTTGGGAGGAGATTATAAATCCTTCAATTTAAGGATATCATCCATTGGAATCAAACCAAGTAAAACTTTCCAACAAAACAAAAAGACATAAAAGAGGTCAAACATTTATTCCAAATCGCACCACCCCAGTACATCTTGTCCCAACGTAAAGTTTTGAATAGATAGTTTTAATAATAGAGCAATTGATAGTTTCAGTCAACAAAATTTTATCCTTTTGGGACTTATCAAAAGAAATCTTAGAGATATATCCTTACCTAACATATTGGTGAGCAACTCCAAGTTCCACCCTTCATCAAGTAAAGATCAACCACAGTCAAGTCTTTTTTATCATGTGTAAAGCATGACGATAGATATCCTTTTTGTCATTTATCACGCCAAAAGGATAAGCTACCATTCTCCAGTTTTCAGTGGATAATGTCTTGAACAGTTATTTTTTTCTATTCTTGATGTTTTCATTCCATAAATCTCTTATCTAGTCATTCTCATTCCATCATGTTGAAACCCAAAAAACAGCCAAAGATTTTCTTAATTAGGGCAAAATTGAAGATAATTCGATGAACTGAAAATAAGTTAAACTGCAATACCTATCAGCTTGCGCTCCACGGTGTCTGTACATGCACTCACTGGGATCCATCTAATTTATAATCTTTTTTCCTGTAAAAAGATTAGCAAATATTTTTGATTTAAAATACTTAGTGGGTAAATATTTCTTAATTACAATAATTCTCATTTTAAAATATTTTGAAAAAATGTGGTAACAGTAAAAGCTGTGCAGTAAAAGAAAGCAGTAAAGTAAATAATTTTATTTTCTTTCATTAATTTATGTTACACTTTTCATAATTGTGAGTCACCGTTTAAACGTATACTTTATAAGAATATGTGTTTAACCTTTTCCAACCCATCACAAAGGTAGACAACCTTTTCCATTTCCATTTCATGCACTGGTACAATGCATTCTCCCTGCTAGTACCATCCAGGGTTGACTCCTATATGCATGCATGTATCATATTTTATTAATTTTTAGCTTGCATTTAGCATTTAAAATAAAACTTGCATTTAACATTCAAAAGGGAATATAGACTTTTGCATTTTAAAATTAAAAGCAGGGAAACAATAAAAATATGCATAAATAAATAGATCCATTGTAAAATAAAAAAAACATATTATACACCTCAGCGATGTTGTCTGCTATCCTTTTCCTCAGATAATTTTAATACTTTTTTTTGAACCTATAATAACATATTAGGCTTAATTAGCTTTCAATAACACATCATATTTAATAAATTTAAATAAACTTTTGATCTAGTTTCTCAAGAATTTTAACTTAACTAATTAGATATTTTAATTTTCCCTTTTTATCTAATTAAATTATTATTTATTATTAATTAATATAGGTACTTTTCTAAATTAGTCTTAATCTTAACATTACCCATTTATTATTTAGTTCAATACATTCGAAGACAATTAATAATACATCTTAAATCTTGTTTGTAATTTAACACAAATTAATGAAGCATATAATAATAAAATGTAAAATTTAGAATTTATACCCGAAGTTGATCTCCTTAACAAATTTTTGTTCTGCTTAATCATTTTCGCTAAATAGCTAAAATTGTAAGAATCATCATTAGGATATTTCTAAAAATTAATTGAATTTACTAGATATTACATTTCATAACTTAATTTAAATAAATAACAATAATAACTTAAATAAATTAATACTTTAACTTTTTAAATCTTCTACATGCCCTAATTAATTTGAACCAACACTTTCATCATCTTCCCCACTTGCGGTCAAAAAAATATTATTTCAGGACTCCAGATGTATTCATAGTCTAATAATAGGATGTCACGTGTCAAGTGGGCCCCATTGCAGAGTGACCCATTCCCGTGTAGTGTCCCACTTGACACCTAGCCCCACCATTCCTGACTTGCACATATGCAGAAAAGATCCCGCGAGCCTTCCTTCTCCATCCTCCTTTGCGAGCCGCACAACTCTCCTACCTCTTCCTTTCACTTGAGGTAAGGGTTCGAACCTTCCAAATACACAGATGGGTTTCCTCCTTGCCCGCGATAGTTGGCAGAGCACGGTTGAGCCCATGAGGTACCTAAATGTTGAGAAAATTAGGGCGAAGAAAAACAGTAATCGACACAAATCCAGAAGAACACAGAGATTTAACGAGGTTCGACAAAGATGCCTACATCATCGGGAGCAGAGCGGCGTATTCCTTTTCAATATTCAGAAAAGAGGTTACAGAATAGAGAATCCAACTCTCTCAAAGACCTAGGATTACAAACATGTCTATTTATAATCCTAGAGTAAGCCCTACAGTACAATATGTAATTCCCAAATTACCCCTGTACCGTATAGCGGGACGTTGACCCAACACCCCCAACCCACATAACGTAACTTCCCGATTTGGACAGATTCTTTTGCTTCGCTCCGCTCTGCTCCGCTTCGTTCTAGCGTCTGTCCCTATATGGTATATAAGCCATACCATAACAAATCTCCACCTTGGCGAATATACAGCCCCTTAGGAGAAAAACTACTTGGGAGTTACACTTGCACTAATGTGGGTTGGGCCACCATGCTTCTGCTGCGCCCTCGCTGATCTCAACCCACTGAATTCCAAGAGACACATCTCTTCAATTCCAAGAGACATCTCTTCATTCCAAGCTGGTATTATGAGTTCATACCTAACAATTATCCACCTTGGCGAATATCCAGCCCCTTAGGAGAAAATGCATCATGAAGTTTCTTACACTGTAGTGAGTGGGTTGGACAACCATGCCAACTAGCAACTGCTAACATTCAACAAGTTCAAGCAATTCAAGAACTTGTTGAAAATACCTGGCTTGGTCAACATACTTGCTGCATTTCCATCATATGATCCGACAGAGTTAACTCCACCTACAACTGCACTCCCCAACAGTTTATAGATAATACCATCAGGTTTCATAACTCGTAATGTCTTCAAAATTTCTTGTGCCAACAAATCTTTCACATTTGTTTGTCACAATCCGATGTTCCTTGTTCCGTTAAACTTCACTATCTCAAAATTTGCACCAGATATTACCATTCGAATTTAATCCTGCAGTGACTTTTACCTGTCTTGTATGAAACAAAACACACACCACAAATAAATTCAAATAAACCTGAAATTTTCTCTGTCAATTTGCACAAATAAATTCAAATAAACAGATTCTTCCGCTCCGCTCTGCTTCGCTCCGCTTCTGCTGCGCCCTCGCTGATCTCAACCCACTGAATTCTAAGAGACACATCTCTTCAATTTCAAGAGACATCTCTTCATTCCAAGAGACTCCAAATCCTGGTATTATGAGTCATACCTAACACTAAACGAGCTTTCCTTCTTCTCCTCCTTTCCTTTACTGCTCGCAGCACTCAACCGAGTCGCTCGAGCCTTCTTCCCCTTCAGTTCTATCGCACACAGTGGAGCGAAACGTCCAGCTAAGCGGCTTGCCTCCTCTAAGTCCCTCTTCTTCTTCTTCTCCCTATGCTGTGGGTTTTACTTCATCCTTCTCCTTTTTCTACTTCCTCTACCCCACTCTCTCGATCTCTCACGATCCCTTTCTCTCTCTCTCGATTTTTTTTTTCTATTCAAATATGTGGCAGTGTGAGAGAGGCAAATGATAAATTTCAGTTGGGAGTTTCGTCTTTTCTAACAGACGCATCTCATTAAAATTTATTTATTTATATTATTATTATTATTATTATTATTATTATTATTATTCATTTTTCAGTTATTACAATATGATTTTAAAGAGATGGTCTATAAAAGCAAATTGTCACAACCAGACCCTAGGGTTTGCAAATTTCAAGGCTGAGTAATAAACAACTCACAAGTGAAATACAACTGTAGTTTCAAAAACTTATTTTTGATTCATTGAGAAAAATTAAAGTCAATGATCTTATTTCAAATGTAAATGACATGTAAAATAAAATTTATTCAATTAACTTATTGTATTCGAAATATGAAGTATGGTATCTCAAAATCTAGATCATCTGTTTATGAATATTATAAATATATTTGAATGCAAAATAAATGTGGATTCAATTTAGTTTTTGTGTCTACGTAGTCACATTTGTGGTGGGAAGGATAGCCGCCTTTATTTTTATTTTGAAACTCAATTATAACATAATTAAAAGGAAAATCAATAGGGAAATTACTTTTTTTTTTGCTTTTATATGGACATGATTCATTCTCTCTTTATAAAGGAAAATCATGAATTTCTATGGTCATTTGGCAACCACCAAATGCATCCATTTTTTCTTTAGTCAAGGCCTCAATGCATGCAAGATAATATTAATTTTTAAAAAAATACAGACTTTAATTATATTGAATTTTGATAATATTTATAGTGTACTTGATGGTCTTGATGGTGAATTACACCATTGAACTTAGGTTTGTGAGGGTTATTGTATATTTCATCGGATAATTCTTGCTTTTCTCACTTTCTTGATGAGTGGTTAAATTGTTATAAAAATGTTGGATTATCGAACGATAAGTTTTATGTATTGAACATGATTTTCTTACTTATTTCCCCAAAGAAACTTTAGCAATTATGGATAATCATAATAATGTAACACTTTGAATTCTTTGCTTCAGTATTGTGGTTTAGAAGTTTTTGAAATGCAAAATTTCACGACAGCTTCTGTGGATGATATTGCACGTGTGCATGAAAGGGCCTATGTAACGGGACTTGAGAAGGTAACTGCTGCATTTTGATTCGTTGTTTCTATTGGAGATAATGTATTGTTTTAATTTCTTGTTTATTGTGTTGCCCTAACTTAAATTCCTAGCGGAAATATGCTTGTCTTTAATCTCTACCTCATCATTACGTGGAAAGGATATACATGCAATCAATTGACAATATAATATTATCAGTGCTGTAGTTGTTTCTGTGTTTCCTGGAGACACTAAAGAAGGCATTCAAGTCTTTCTTTTTCTGGTTGTGCTTGTCTAATATTCTTTGAGAAGAGTTTCAAAATAGTCCCCTGACTCTTTGCAATTAGTCATTTTAGTCCAGTGTCTGTAAAATTGTTAATTTAGTCTTTGGCCTCTTTTAATGTGGGCTGAAATTGTCCTAGGAGAGACTATTTAAGCTTCAATTTAGAGAGTATGGGGATTATTTTGACATTTTTAAAGACTCTAGGAATAAAATCGCTCCATGTAAACCTTAAGGGGGACTATTTTGGTACTTAATTTCCTTTTTATTGTGATTTTTCATTTTTCTCTATGTACAGATGCATGTTGCTTGTTATAAAAATCCAGCGAAATCAAATTAATTCTCTCAGTCAAAAAATTATAATTTGGAAAGGCGGTCATTGTGATAATTATTTTTGAAGTTATGCAATTATATTAGTCAGGAGGTTTACCGTCATGGTTTTCTTTTACTCTATACTTTTTTTTTGCATTCTTATTCCTATTTTTTTTTCTTAGTAAGGCCATAATCCCCTTTCTTATTTTTTGAACAACTTTTATTAGTTTGAAATTCAAATGTTTAAATTTTCGCATGGCAAGGAATCTAACTGAGACCCTTTTTTTTTTCTAGTAGGCTATGTCAAAGGCCTCTGATGAAGGACTTATCTTCATTGATGGATCAGGACCAACTTATGCAACTGGAACAGTAAGCTTCAATCATACAATTTTTTTTTTAACTTTGTACTTGTTGAATTGAAATTTGTCCCCAAGGAATAATGCGTTGGACCAAGGGAAGGAGCGTGAAAGAGGGAGAGAAGAAGAGATAAGAGGAAGACTTCCATTGACGGGAGAAAATAGGGTCTTCTCGGGCTCTCTGACCCATTTTATTATATAAGGAAAATGTATTACAAAGTGGGGAGAGCCAAGTCCCCCTCATACATCATAATACCCTTATATTTATAGAAGATAAGAGGGACAAAAATATATTAAAATTACATATATGATCCTACTTAAAAGAGAAGAGCAAATGACATTTTAGTCCTTCATATTTAGACCGCTAGATAGTCTCGAGATTCGTGCAGATCATTTTTGAGTATACATATTAAGTTTTCTAATTTTCTTGCTCATTGATGGCGACAACTACAATAAAAACAAAAAAAAAATTATAAATCAAATAAATTTAAACACATAATTTGCTAATGATACCCCTTGTTTTTTGGGCTTGGTTTTGGTATCTTTATCGTCATTTGTTGAGTTTGTCATTCTGGAGTTTTTCGTGTTGGGGGGGGAATTTATCGAGTTCTAATGGCCGGTCGGATGAGAAGTCGGCCGTCGGAGGTATCAATCAGGAATAAAAGAAATCAGACAGAATAAAGAGTTTCCTTCTTTGCAATACTGCAAAGAAGAAAATATTATATTTGTACGGATTCTTTCCTTTTAGCTGAATATTTAGATTATGAGTATGTATTAATTAAGTTACTTAAATTAGATTATACTGAATATGTACCTAAAATAGATTGTACAAACTACTATTTATTGGAATGAAAACAAAGGAAAAGACATTCAACCTATTTGCTCAAAATATTGTCATGGTATTAGATCCTGAATCCTTGAAATTTTAGCTTTTGTTATCTTTAGCCGGCATCTTTGACTGCTTCCTCATCGGAACACTCGTTCTTGTCTTTGAGCTCTGCGGCGTCCTCGTTCGCTTTGTTTGAGTTCTACCGCTGCTTCAAGCCGATCGACTCCCTTCGATCGGACCTCTGGTGCTGAGTTTTACGACATCTTCTGTGGTGCAACATCTTCTTCATCCGACATCTTTGATCGGACCTCTGGTGCTGAGTTTACGACATCTTCTTCATCCGACATATTCGATCGGACCTCTGGTGCTGCGTCAACATCTTCTTCGTCCGACATATTCGGACGTCTGCTTCAAGCCGCTCGACTCCAATTACAAGAAATTCGTCGCTCCGATCTGCCGCGATCTCCTTCGATCCACCTGCCGCGATCTGTTTCGATCCGCCTGACGCAATCTCCCTTCGTTCGTTCTTGCCGCGATCTGTCGCGATCCTTCACTCGTTCTTGCCGTGTCGCGATCTGTCATTTTCTCCTGCCGTGCTGCGATCTGCCGTGATCCACTCGCTCGTTCTCTCCTGTCGTGTCGTGATCTGATCCGCCGCGATTTGCTCGCTCGTTCGCTCCAATCTGTCGGCCCACTCCGTTCTGCCGCGATCCACTTCGTTCGATTGTCACGATCACGACTATTCGATCTTCGACCCTAGCCTTTCGATTTGAATTTTATTTATTTGGATATTTCGATTGAGATTAATATATTTAAAATTTCTTCTGAAATCTTAGTTATCAAATTTACGGGAAAAAATTATGCCGCATGAGAGTTTCAGCTCAGAATGTTCTTAAAAGGGAAGGAACTTTGGGGTCATATTGATGGATCTACCCCAGCTCCTACTGAGACAAAAAATCTTGGTCAATAGGAAGCAAATGATGCACGGATTGTTTCCTGCAGGCAGGAAAAAGTAATGTCTTGCTTTTTCCAAGTTTACAAACAGAATAATCAACTACTAAATTCTTATCTATAGAACAAAAAACACTTTTATGTAAATGCTTCAATATCATATCATTTGAATGACCTAGTCTTTTATGCCAGATGTCTGTCTTATTCTCAACAACTGAAGATGCTAATGAAATATTCTGAGGAATAGTAAATTGTAATGGAAACAGTCTGCCCACTTTAGGCCCCTTCCGCTATCCCCTTCCTCGACACCTGATCCTGCACAATACAACCATCATGAGAAAAATGTACTTCAGAGTTATTATCCACAATTTGACCAACAGAGAATAAGTTAGTTGATAATTTAGGAGAAACCAAAACATGTTTGAAGGATGAGTTAATATCACCAACTTTCGTAATTGAAATATTATTTCCATTAGAAACCTGAATATGTTGAGTACCAGTATACGGTCGTTGGTTATGCAATAGCTCAGCAATGCTAGTCATATTATTTGTGGCGCCTGAATCAACAAACCAAAGAGAAGTAACCGAATAAATAGTTTTACCTTTTCCTATTTCAGGCATTCGTACCAATAAATGTTTTGATATTATTCATAGTGATGTTTGGGGAATTACACCAGTTAGTTCACATGCTCAATATAGATATTTTGTGACATTTATTGATGATTACAGTCGATTTACTTGGATCTTTTTTTTGCGTGCCAAAACAGAAGTATTTACTGTATTCTAAACATTTTTAACATATGTTGAAACTCAGTTCTCCGCTCGCATTAAAACATTACGTTCTGACAATGGCGGTGAATACATGTCTCATGAGTTTCAAGCATTTCTTCAGAACAAAGAGATTGTTTCACAACGTTCATGTCCCTATACTATACACCGCAGCAAAACGAAGTTGCTGAACGAAAAAATCGACATCTATTGGATACCGTGCGCACATTACTGATAGAATATTCTGTTCCAGCTAAATTTTGGACTGAAGCTTTATCTACTGCAGTTTATCTCATTAATCGCTTACCATCTTAACAATTGAAGTATGAGTCTCCCTACTATCGAGTTTTTGATAAACATCCTAATTATCATACGCTGCATACTTTCGGATGTGTTTGCTTTGTTCATCTACCTGCTTATGAACGTCATAAATTGGCAGCTCAGTCAGTCCGATATGCCTTTATGGGGTACAGTCCTAATCATAAAGGTTTTGTGTGTTATGATTCGATTAATAGTCGATAACATATTTCTTGAAATGTAATTTTTTTTAACATGAATATTACTTTCAACATCATATGTCCACATCAGATACAGTTATACTTCCACAATTTGATAATTCTTCTGCTGATAAACGATTCAAGCCAGACATTGTCTACACACGTTGCCTGCCCCCTTCATCTTCAATCCTCCCCGACCCTAATCCAGAAATTGCTCCAATAAGTATTCGACGATCAACCCGACGTATCTGTCTCGGTATTCTGCAATTTTAACTAATACTACTGTTTATACCTCTTACTTTCAAGCTGCTAAACAGACTTGTTGGGTCAAAGCCATGAAAGAGGAACTTCAGGCACTTCAAGACAATCACACCTGAGATATTGTTTCATGTACTACAGGTATTAAACCCATTAGTTGTAAATGTGTTTATTCTCTTAAACTCCGATCTGATGGCTCTCTTGACAGATATAAGACAAGATTGATAGCTCTTGGTAATCGACAAGAATACGAGATTGATTATGACAAAACAATTGCACCTGTGGCTAAGATGACAACTGTCCGACTGATGTTATCTATTGTTGCATCTAAAGGCTGGTTCTTAAAGCAGATGTATGTTAAGAATGCATTCTTACATGGGGATCTCAAAGAAAACGTCTATACGACTCCTCCTCCAGGCTTATTTTCTGCACCTTCACATGATGTTTGTAAGCTCAAACGGCCCCTATAAGGTTTGAAGCAGGCTCCACGGGCCTGGTTTGAAAAGTTTCGCAATACCCTTCTTAACTTGTCTTTTATTCAAAGTCAGTATAATTCATCATTATTTCTTTGCAAGACTAAGAAGGGAATTGTTTTGTTATTAGTATATGTTGATGATATTGTCATCGCAGGATCTGATAATCAATTGATGTCTCAGCTACAAAAACGTCTTCAGAGTTCTTTTCATATGAAAGATTTAGGGTCATTAACTTATTTCTTAGGACTTGAGGTTCACTCTTCTGCCGTTGGTATTTTTCTTCATCAGCACAACTATACAAAGGGACTCATTGCTTTGACTGGTCTTCAAGATGGTCGCTCCACTGATACCCCTTTGGAGGTAAATGTCAAATATCAACAGAATGAGGGTGACTTTCTATCTGAACCATCTCTATATCTCAATTATCTGACTATTATGCGTCCTGATATTTCATTTGTTGTGCAACAAATTAATTAATTTATGCAAGCCCCTACACATCTTCATTTAGCTACAGTTCGACGTATTATTCGATATTTGAAAGATACTTCTCATCGTGGTTTGTTCTTTTCTGTAAAGTCTCCTATCACCTTAACAGCCTATAGTGATGTCGATTGGGCTGGTTGTTTTGATACACGCCAATCTATTACTGGATGGTGCATGTTTCTCGGCAACTCTTTAATCTCGTGGAAGAGCAAGAAACAAGATCGAGTGTCTAAGTTATCAACTGAATCGGAATATCGTGCTATGTCCTCTGCTTGTTCTGAAATCATTTGGCTTCGTGGCATGCTGGCTGAGCTTGGTTTTCTTCAGCTTGAGTCTACTTCTCTTCATGCAAATAATACTAGTGCTATCCAAATTGTTTTTAATTCTGTCTTTCATGAACACACGAAACACATTGAAGTGGACTATCATTCCATTCGAGAAGTCTATGAGGAGGGTGTTATATCTCTTCCTCATATCACTTCTGATGTTCAAACGACTGATATATTTACTAAAGCTTTTTCTCGACAGCGTCATCAGTTTCTTGTCAGCAAATTGATGCTTATTGACCAGCCATCATCAATTTGAAGTGGGATATCAATCAAAAATAAAAGAAATCAGACAGAATAAAAAATTTCCTTCTTGGCAGTACTGCAAAGAAGGAAATATTATATTTGCACGGATTCTTTCCTTTTAGCTGAATATTTAGATTATGAATATATATTAATTAAGTTACTTAAATTAGATTATACTG